GTGATACAATCTCAAATGTCAGGATGTTGTTTCAAAATGGTATTGTCGACGACAATGGTTTGGGCGCATTCTTCGAGACGTAAATACCAAAATTTCGAAACAGTGCCTTCCGCCTATTTCACATCCAGGTTGACGCTTACAAGTCGGAGAATAAGTTGAAACGTAAACCATGACTATCAAGCAGGATCTCAGGCTGATCGGACTTCAGACGCTTTACGATAGCCCCTACTGGAAACAAAACCAAATCTCACTGTGTCCTAACTTCGCTTCTGATCGCGGTACTTGAACAGATGCTATTTGAGACGTAAATACAGCCAGATCATCCATTCTCCGGAGTTAGTTAGTTGCCAAAACTCCGAAGCAATTCAATTTACGAGGGGGAGGAGGGAAGAGTAGATAATCAGTTTGCTGTAGATCCCATGATTTTTTGCCTTACTGGATTGTTTTAGTTCCTCTTCTTCCGGATACACACCAATTCAATGGTAATGATAGAATCCGATGGAGACAAAAAAAAATCACGCAAGAAACTGCACTTTGCTTCCTGGATGATATTCTAAAGAAGGTATATACTGACTACAAATGACTTTTGTCTTGACTGGGGTTTGAAGTTGCCTCCGTATAGTCGGATAGGGAATCTGAGGGATATTGGTCAGAATCCAAAACAGCAAAATGAAAGTTGAAAATTTCATTTATTGATATCTGTCATCTCCAATGGCAAAAAATACACACAATCCGAGATTAACACGTCATATTAACACACCCGATTCTATAGGTAACCACTTCAGATCATTCCTAGCAAGCATGGGACAGTAATTCCAAGGTTTCCAGCAGTTGGAGACACAGACATCGTATTACTTAGATCACTAGACCATCACTTACTGTACTCTTATTTGGTAAACTGAACGCTTCATATTCCAATGAGGGCAACTTTGCGCCTCTATACCGTCAGTCTTCACTAAAAAAACAAGCTGGATTACAACAGTAGGCCTCTTATGAAACAACTAACGGGCTCACCTAGGTAACCGTAGCTGAACTTGTGGTTTAGTGGATGTAAGCGATATCAGTACGTACGTACGCAGTGGAAAAAGCCATTTCAGTCGTGCATTTATTATAATTCTGTTGACATGACATCGGTTTTCGGTCTTCAAAATGCCTGGCGTGTGCTACTTTGGTTCTTGTACCCTACAAAGCAATTTGGACATGGGTGTGTTAGGAATAAACGTTTACGCCGGTGGGTGGGGCCAAGGATGACCGATCGCCTCTGGGGCATGGATAACTGAATCATCAATGATTAGACAAGCCATAGTAGATGAATAGACAGACAGTAAAGAGGGGCGTAGGCTCGATACATTGAAACAAACAAAAAAAACCAGATGACTCCCTCCCTCGCGTTGGGTGAGGCAAGTAATGGATGAGTGACGGAATTTGACCACTGCATGATAGATTTGCATTAAGGGGCGAGGAAAAAAATCCAGTGTCCGGACATGAAATGATTGAAGGCGCTCGTGGGGACCAGTTGAGTTAGTGTATGCGTGTTAGCATGGTAGGACCGAGGGGAGGTGGGAGGGAGCTCAGTTCACCAGTTGAAATGAGTGACTAAATCGCGTATGTGTCATCACGAGCAGAGTGGATATTTTTCATGCCAAACCGATTGACTGTTATTGATAAGACTGCTCAGATTGCAACCGATACACCCGAAGTGATCAGTGGAACTAATTCTCCCTAATAGGGAAAAATTGTGTTGATGAACGGGTATAAGATAAAACCGATTCCTGTGAGAACTAAATAGACACGTTTTGCAGGTGTTTGAAGGATATCAAATCTATCTTCCGGCTGGACGATATCTGGAATTTGAAAGCAAACTCGGTTCGACGATGATGACAATAACAACAACAAAAACAGCAGTTAGAATATCCCAACTGAGTACCAGTTTTTTCTTTCCTTTGGGAACTGTCTGAGGAAACCACAGTAGGTCCAAGTTTTGAAGTAACCAAAAAACATATGGACTCCCATGAGGTTCCATCGACACACCTTGCTCTTGTTGTGGTGGTGGTGGGGGATCTCAACCCATCCTATCGTACTGTCTCATTTTTCGTTCGATTTCCAACCCCCTAAGTCTTTAACAGGTTTCGTCCGCCTCCGGAAAATGATCGCACATTTGTATATTATACTTGAATCCTCCCGGCAATGGAACAGTTTGAGAAAACATGATGAGTAACACACTCTTTAATTTGGCACAATAAACGTCGGGAACGTTGCGATGAAGGAAAACAAGAGAGCCATTTTGTTGACAGCGGTTTCGGACATTGACCTGACCGCCACCTCACTGCGCTGCTTCGGTGACAGTGACGGCCAGCATGGCAGCCGAGCTTAAAAACAAATACTTGTCAACGAAGACGTGTGTGTGTGTGCACAGCATGAATGGGAAGGTGAGAACAAAAACCACAAAGTACAGCGAACGGCACGATGAAAGCACAGAATTGTGTGTGTGTGTGTGTGTGTGTGTGTGTGTATTTAAAGTAACAAAAAGTAGTATCTGTGACCACGACGAACGACAACGGAAGCTATGGTGTAAAGAAAGACACCGATGCTATACGTTTTAGAGGCAGACATTTTTCATTCATTAGTTCATTTACTGTCCAGTAGCTGTGGCATATATAGCAAAGAAAATGGCTAATGACAAGCTTGTCACTCGAATTGAAAGGAACACGTTGCGCCTATGCACGAAATGTGCATCTCTCTCTCA